ACCTTGTGAGTCAGTGGCTTAGAAGAGATCTGAACCTCTCCTTAAAAAAACCAAAAATGATGGGGGGAAAGAAGCTGTTGTAACTTTTTCCCTGCCTGTCATTTTCAGCTCAACCCCCCCCCCCGAGTTTTCACCCAGGGCAAGGGTGAAAGAGAAAGGGAAGACATCAGGACCCCCAAATATCTCTCGAGCAAAAAATGGTTCCCATTCCTGGAAAAATTTGGGGAGTTCACCTCTCATGGCATAGCAACATGAAAACATGAGTATTTGCCTCTTGTCTACATCCACTGATCTCTTCCCCCTGCTTGGGGCTCATTTCCCACCTGTTATAACACACTTATCATTTTGTTTACCAGTGAATAGATTTTGTTTGTATTATTTCCTTTTCCTCTTCTATTTAACTGCTATTGAACTTGAAACCTCCCCAACTTGATGTATGTATCTTTGTTCTCTACACTTTTGGTATAGTTACTTGTTTCATGTATTTTTTTTTCATTTTGATTTCTCAACCTTTTTTTTTTTTTAAACCCACCAAATATCTCTCAGGCCTTTGTCCCGCTAAGATACAGTCTGCCCCAGATTGCTTAAGTTAAAAAACTGCGGAGGGCAGAATGGCAGAATCAGGGAGGCCTGTGGCTCAGTGGTAAAGCATCCGCTTGGCACACAGGTGGCCTCGGATTCAATCTCCAGCATCTCCAGTTAAAAGGATCAGGTTGTGATGGGAAAGACCTCAGCCTGAGACCCTGGAGAGCCGCTGCCAGTCAGAGCAGACAATAATGACTAGGATAACAGTGGTCTGATTCAGTTTGTGGCAGCTTCATGTGTTTATTTCTTAGGGAGGGGCCGTGGCTCAGTGGCAGAGCATCTGCTTGGCATGCAGAAAGTCCCAAATTCAATCCCCGGCATCTCCAGTTAAAAGGACCAGGCAGTAGATTATGTGAAAGTCCTCTACCTTAGACCGTGGAGAGCTACTACCACTCTCTGAGTAGATAATACTGACCTTGATGGGACCGAGGCAGATTAATATAAGGCAGCTTCACATGTGTTGATGTGCAGAACATCTGTGCAACATGAGGCTTGGGCACTATCGTACAGTGGGTCTTCCATAGTTAATAACACGGGCATTAGAAACGGCAAGGTTTCTGGAAGCCCAGTCCTAGTGGTGACGTCAGATTTCCAGGAGATACAGGAACCCAGAGAGGGGAGTGGGAAGAGCCATGACAGATGAGTCATCCCAACTCAGGAGCCGGGATGTGCCAACAGGCTCCATCTGCAAAATCCACCATTCGAACTCATTCTGATTTCTCACCTCCATCCAGGTGAGGACTGGCCCGCAGTTGATGTTGCTATCCACAATGGCCGAGAGCTTTTCTAGGTACTGCGTAAGCATGGGCACCAGCAGCTGGTGGGGGAGAGAGGAAGAAAACATGGCGTCACTGGCCTGGCTGTCTCCCAGATTCAGAAACCAAGGGAGGCCGAGGTCAGCCACTTATGGTGAACAGCAGAGGTTTCCAGCCATTGACAAAGTGGGCTCCCTTCTCAAGACACTCATTGTTCAATCTATAAGAGTTCGGTCTACAGTACTCCTTGGCTTGAACCCTACGACTCCCTTCCACCACATCTTTCCCCCAGCAAAAAAAAGACAGGGGGACCATGGCTCAGTGGTAGAGCATCTGCTTGGCATACAGAAGGTCCCAGGTTCAATCCCCAGTATCTCCAAACATAACATTCAAATAGAAGGTGATGTGAAAGACCTCTGGAGAGTAGCTGACAGTCTCAGTAGACGATGCTGAGCTTGATGGATTGATTCAGTAGAAGGCAGTTTCACATGTTCATGTGACTTCTTCCAATAGAGAAATACTTTCTCCATTGGAAGCAGAAGTTCTTCTCTGTGAAAGGCTTAGCAGAAGGGTTTCATTAGGATCCAACTCAACAGAAGGGAGTCACAGGATCCAGCTCCTTGTCTTATGGGGAGATAGATCGAGATGGGTAGCCGTGTTAGTCAGTCTGTAGCAGCAGAAAAGAGCAAGAGTCCAGTAGCACCATAAAGACTAACAAAATGTGTGTCTTTTGTGGTAGAAGCTTCGGTGAGTCGCTGTTGTATCTGAAGAAGTGAGCGGTGACTCATGAAAAACTCATACCCTTCTGCAAATTTTGTTTGTCTTTAAGGTGCTACTGGATTCATGCTCTTTTCTGCGGCTTCATAGCAAAAGTCTATTGTGTAATTGTTCTCACCATTCCTAGGGCATGCTTTCACAAGCCACATTCAATGGCTACTCCAGAACCAATCAAAACACCTTTGAGGAGGGCATCAAGACAAGCGCTAGTGTCTCTGCACAAATGCCAACAATTTCTAGGAAGACCCTCTTTTTCCTTTGTGCGCAAGATGGAAAATAACGGGAAGCTCAACACCAGCCACGTTCTATGGCACGGTCACATGAGATTGGGCGAGATGTCCAGTCTCTGTGGGAAGCCCCTGTTCTGCTGCTGGTCAAGCTACAATCTTAAGGGTTGGATCCAGCAAACTTCTTTCACTTGATCGCACCCAATTTCCCTCCCTACGACAGCTGTCATCCCCACATGGCTTTTGTCAAAGCAGCTCCCCTGATTCTCCACACAGCCCTTTTCCTGTGGGCAATGAGGACCACGTGTTCCTTTATCATCTGCCAAGAAAGCTGGCTGCATTCAACCCTCTCTCTGTTTTGACTTTTGTATTCCCAAGAAAACCAGAGAATCCCCAAGCAAATATCATCTCCCCTGTATCTTTTCGTTCCTTTATCATCTGCCAAGAAAGCTGGCTGCATTCAACCCTCTCTCTGTTTTGCTTTCTGTATTCCCAAGAAAACTAGAGAATCCTCAAACAAATATCATCCCCCCTGTACCTTTTCGTTCCTTTATCATCTGTAAAGAAAGCTAGCTGCATTCCACCCTCTCTCTGTTTTGCCTTCTGTATTCCCAAGAAAACCAGAGAATTCTCAAACAAACATCATCTTCCCTGTATCTTTTTGCTGCATTCAACCCTCTCTCTGTTTTGCTTTCTGTATTCCCAAGAAAACTAGAGAATCCCCAAACAAATATCATCCCCCCTATACCTTTTCGTTCCTTTATCATCTGTAAAGAAAGCTAGCTGCATTCCACCCTCTCTCTGTTTTGCCTTCTGTATTCCCAAGAAAAACAGAGAATTCTCAAACAAACATCATCTTCCCTGTATCTTTTTGTTCTTTTATCAGCTGCAAAGACAGCTGGGCTGCATCCAACCCTCTCTCTGTTTTGCCTTCTGTATTCCCAAGAAAACCAGAGAATCCCCAAACAAACATCATATCCCCTGTATCTTTTCCCTAGCAGCACTCTGTACTTTTCCTTCCATAGCTGGCAAAGCAGCTTAGGAGGGCCAGTTTGGGTCAAAGTGCCTAAAAAGAAATAGCCAAGTACTTCTGCCTTTCCCCTCTAATTGCACTTGCAGGTCTCCCCGAGCCGTTTTGTTTTTTTAAAAATATGCCAGCAGACAGACCAAACCATCTCCAGGTGTCTCATCTCATTCGGCCCTGAGTTGTGCAAAACAAGGAGGGGAGCCGTACACCTGTGTTGCATCACTTCACTTCTCAATGCTTGCCCGTGCATGTCGAAAGCCAAATCGCACACAGGACAGCAACTCTGATGTGAGCCTGCAGCTCTCCGGTCATGAATGCAAAGAAGACCCAACTCCTGGCAAAAATGGGAGTTGCTTTTTGTGAGTTTTTGGAACCAGGCCCGGCATGATAAGAATCTTGGCAGGCAGACAAAAGACACCTTTGACTAAGGGCAAAATTGTGATTCAGGTGGTGGTGGGGGGTTGACTTGCAAGGAAATGTGCCCCCCTGCAAAGGCCTGACATGGTTCTAAGACACTCACCTCTGGGTTAGCCCGCATGTGGCTGAAGGGAGGCAGCTCAGGAAGCTGGGAGAAACGCCTGTCAAAGATGCAGCAGTGCAGGTGGGTGTCCAGAGTGCGGAATTCCTCATAGCTGCGATGCACCTGCCAGCTTTTCCCCTGTGGCAAGAAAGGCAGCATGAGAAACAAGGGAGAAGCAAAAGTCATGCTTGGCTGACCTGATTTGTGGTGAACGAACTTGCCCCATCCATCCCTGATCATCCCACCTTCTGCACAGGAGCACACGTGCATACAAAGCCTATGCAGGATCTGCACCCAGGGCACACAACAAGTCTTCGCAGGAGCACTTGAGAGCCGGCGTGATGTAGTGGTAAAGAGGGTCAGTCTCTAATCTGGAGAGCCGGGTTTGATTCCCCACTCCTCCATATGAAGCCTGCTGGGTGACCTTGGACCAGTCACAGTTCTCTCAGAACTCTCTCAGCCCCACCTGCCTCACAAAGTGACAGTTGTAGGGAGAGGGAGGGAAGGCAATTGTAAGCTGCTTTGAGACACATAAGGCCTACTGGGTGACCTTGGGCCAGTCACAGTTCTCTGAGAGCTCTCTCAGCCCCACCTGCCTCACAAAGTGACAGTTGTAGGGAGAGGGAGGGAAGGCAATTGTAAGCTGCTTTGAGACACATAAGGCCTATTGGGTGACCTTGGGCCAGTCACAGTTCTCTGAGAGCTCTCTCAGCCCCACCTGCCTCACAAGGTTCCTGTTATGGGGAGAGGAAGGGAAGGAGAGTGTAAGCCGCTTTGAGACACATGAGGCCTGCTGGGTGACCTTGGGCCAGTCACAGTTCTCTCAGAACTCTCTCAGCCCCATCTGCCTCACAAGGTGACTACTGTGGGGAGGGGAAGGGAAGGAGATTGTAAGCTGCTTTGAGACTCCTTAGAGTAGAGAAAAGCTGGGTATAAAAACCAACTCATCTTCTCTTCTTCACTTTTCAGATGTTACAGTTATAAGTACTGGGAACCTATCAACCAAATGTAAAGGGAACAAGCACTATCCACGATGCTGTCGATACGCATGGTCATCATTTCATGTCTGCATGCTTTACAGGATTCAGTGCAGTATAGGGTGGCCAAGTCTCTAGGGTAGGGCCTGGGAAGGGCTTCATCTGACCTGGAAGTGATGTCACTTCCGGATGAAGCTGTAGGAATCCTTGCAAATCTCAATGGTAAAAGCCATAGAAATTGGGAGGATTCCTAGAGTGTAACCCCAAAGCTGCATCACTTCCGAATCAAATACCATCCCTCCTCTTCTTCTCCTGCTGAGAACATCACCAGCGGCAGGAGTGTAAGCAGAGTGGTGGGGGATTACCCCCTGAAAGGGGGCATTTGGTAAGCCTAGTGTAGTATACTGTATACACACTGGATGCACACAGATGTATGCACACAGAAAATCCGTTTGTTGTTTTACTGGCTTGCAGGCTCTGAGTATCGTGCCAGAAGTCAGGCAAGGAAGAGTCAGGGGCTTAGCATCTATCATATTCGTTGCATTCCAGACCTAACAGCCTCTATTGGCTGGTTTTTATAGCCCCATGCCTAAGGTTCATGCTTGCAGACAGCTGCTCAGAAGTAATCCTGCAGCTACTCATCTTCGTTATCACTTTCTACGAAATGACCCCTGGTTATCAGCAAGCAACTGGCACCGGGCCAGGAGGTGTGCACTTTGCCGTCTTGTCTGTAGCTCTGTTCTCAGCCTCCATCTGCAGTGCTCTAAGGGTGTGGGCGATACTAGTGGACTGGGAATGGCCAACTGAGGTTCACCTGCTGAATCAGGGCTGGAGGGTGTCAATGGCTCTGCACCCACTGTTGGCTGTGAATCCTGACAAGCCTGCAGCTCATTTTCCTGCTGGTCAGCTTCTGTCAACTTGGAGCTGGCTACATGGGGCTCCTCTTCTCCTGAGGAATCCTTGCTATTGCTGAGCCCTGGCTGACCCACGACAATTGTTGTCTTTATACAAAGTGGCAGCCAGAAGTATCAGAGGCATTCCCCATTGTGCGTGCATTCCCCACTGGTATACTGCCAGAACAAACAGTAATAATGTCAGGAAAAGATCTATGTGCAGCTTACAAAAATGTGTATGCAGTGGGCAAAAGGCCTGATGAATGTATGCAGGTCACAAGGAGGGCAGCGGGTGTGATTCAAGCACATAATGTGATTCAAGCACATAATGACTGGCTGACCGTGGAAGAACAAGGCTAGAGTGGTAGACATTAAAAGCAGATGTTCCAGATTGCTGGAACTCCAGTTTTGTTTATTTTTTCAAAAGCCATTTGGATTTGCTATGTTTCTGTGATAGGGAATACCCCATCACTTAAGGTGAAAAAAGGAAATACTAAGAAGAAGAGATTGGATTTATGCCCTGCCCCTCACTTGGAGTCTCAGATCGGCTTACAAACTCCTTCCCCTTCCCCTCCCCACAACAGACACTCTGTGAGGTAGGTGGGGCTGAGAGAGCTCTGAGAGACCTGCACTTTCAAGAACAGCTCTGACAGAACTATGGCTTGCCCAAGGTCATCCATCAGTTGTATGTGGAAAAGTGGGTAATCAAACCTGGTTCTCCCAGATTAAAGTCTGCGCACTTAACCACTACACCAAACCAGCTCTTTTCTACTAGCAATGAATAACAGTATTTGTTCACTGAAATAGTAAGTAAACTCACAGTTAGAAACCAAAGTGCTTCCCTCGGTATCCTCAACAAGACATATTGGGCATATCTACACTATTATTTTGTATCAGTTTAACAACTGTTTAACAGTTTAACAGTTTAACAAATGTGCTGGTTCTCCCAGATTAAAGTCTGCGCACTTAACCACTACACCAAACCAGCTCTTTTCTACTAGCAATGAATAACAGTATTTGTTCACTGAAATAGTAAGTAAACTCACAGTTAGAAACCAAAGTGCTTCCCTCGGTATCCTCAACAAGACATATTGGGCATATCTACACTATAACATATATTATTTTGTATCAGTTTAACAACTGTGGGTTTCCTTGAGGAATCCTGAGAACTGTAGTTTAGTGAATAGCCTAAGGATTCCCTACCCGAGGTCCTATACATAATCCGTTCCAGAATTACAGATCCCAGAGTCTCCTGAGAAGAAGGAATGACCATTACATCGATCTCCCTGCCCATCAGAGCTGCTCAAAGCCTTTTGAGATCCCATATGGTGTAGGGTTTAGGGTTCAAATGCTGCTTGCTGACTGGCTGACCTTGGGCCAGTCACTATTTTTCAGATCAACCTACCCACGGTTGCTGTGAGGATAAAATGGAGGGAGAAAGGGAAACAACATCTACTGTCCTGAGCTCTTTGGGGAAAGGGCGCAATAAAACTAAAGTAAATATATGGCACCTTTAGGCTTTGGAGATTTGCAGAGTAATCACTCGGTTACCAGCTGTTAAATCAGTTAACAATTCTCTTCTGAAGCAGCCAAGCCAGTCAATTCAACCTGGTTCTGCCAACTAACATTTTTGGGTTTTTCTTCCTCACCTGGCAGGTGACTTGAATGGCAAAAAGCAGTTCCCCCTCTTCCAAGTTGCTGAGGTTCTCGTTCTGCTCGGGCGCAAACTGTAGCTGTAGGGAGACACAGAAGATAAAGATCCCACCCCTAGCCTGCCACAGGAACCCCGGTGTCCCAGCTATCTGTTCCTCGACTCCTTGGGCAGGGAGGGAAGGAGACGTACCTGGATGTGTCCAAAGTCCACTGCTTCATAGTGGAAATGGGCACATTCAGTCAGCTTGGGGAAGTGACCTCGCGTGATGGAAAGCCTATGGAGAAAGACAGGGGTACAGTCCAAGAAGTGGATGTTATTCTGAGGTGGGATGTTCTTCTGAGGCAGAATCCTGCCCAGAAGCCAAATGTTCAGGCAAAATATGGAACAGAAGGCCCCAAACCCTCACAAAACCAACAGCACCATCCTAAACAGGATTTATTTTCCCCTCCCCCACCTCCATTTTAACCCTGGGACTTGTTCTAGACCCACAAAAGGGCACTCAGTTCTCTCAGCCTGCTTAGGTCTCTCTCATACTCCCGTCGAAGCCTCTCACTGACAGTCACCTCACTCTTACCTAAAGCCTTCCCTCACACACGGCCTGCTGTTTTTCTGACTTGATATGGTGTTTGTGAGCCACTGTTTGCCCCCATGGGGAAACAGACACATAGCCCCTCAGTATACATACATTTCCTCAATGGGGTAGGTAGCAGCTGCCTAGGCCTTTCAGTTTGGGAAAGCCACACAGAGGGGAAGGCGTAAGCCTTTTCCTTCTTAGGGTTCCCAACTCTGGGTTGGGAAACTGCTGGAGATTTGGGGGTGCAACCTGGAGAGGGTGGACTGTGAGAAGGGGCAGGACCTCAGCAGGGTATAACGCCATAGAGTCCACCCTCCAAAGCAGTCACTTCCTTATCTCTGTTGACTGGAGATCAGCGGGGATTCTGGGAGGTCTCCACCCCTTGCCTGGAGGTTGGCTACTCTATTCCTCCCAGGTGTCACAGTCCTGGTCAGAAATGGGCTATCATGCAGGGCCTCTGAGAGGGGGGCCAGCATGGCGATTTGGCCTGGGCCTCGCATTCTTGGGGGCCTCAAATGTACACTTTTGATGTTAATGCTTAATTTGGTTATAGTGAAAAAGGTAAAGGTAAAGGTTCGCTTGCTCGAAAGCCAGTCGAATCCGACTCTAGGGTTTCGGTGCTCATCTCCGTTTCAAAGCCGAAGAGCCAGCGCTGTCCGAAGACGTTTCCGTGGTCATGTGGCCGGCATGACTAAACACCAAGGCGCACGGAACGCTGTTACCTTCCCACCGAAGTGGTACCTATTTATCTACTTGCAATTTCTTGCTTTCGAACTGCTAGGTTGGCAGGAGCTGGAACTAGAGATGGGAGCTCACTCCATCATGCGGCACCCGGGTCTCGAACTGCTGAACTACTGACCTCCCACAGCCTGCAGTTCAGCGTCTTAACCACTTGAGCCACCACAGCTCCTGGGATGGCTGCCATTTTACCTCCTGGTGGCTGGCCGGCCCTGTTATTCCAGGAGGGAAGGGTCCCAGGCATTGGTGGGAAAAATCCCGCCAAAACCGGGAGGTTGGGAAGGCTAGTATTTCTGTGTCTGTAACTATAACCAGACACAGAAAAACTAGCCTTCCCTACCTCCCGGTTTTGGCGGGATTTTTCCCACCAAAGCCTGGGACCCTCCCCTCCTGGAATAACAGGGCCGGCCAGCCACCAGGAGGTAAAATGGCAGCCATCATTTTGCATGTCCCTGCCCAGACGGCAGAACTGGCCAGTCTGGAGCCGGTGGTCTGGTTTCCACAGAGGTCTCTGCCAGAGTGGCTACAGTGAGGTGGCTGCAGCAGAAGCTGGAACAGCAGAGGGAGGAGGAGTGCGCAGGCCTTGCTATGCTTAACATAAGCTAAGACACTGCAATAAAACTAGAAGCTAGAAAATCACATGTTAAATAAAAATGGGAACGTTTATTACCAAGTGTTACACTGTTATTTTTCTTATTGTATTGAATGTAAACACTTAAAATAGAATACTACTAGTTTTGTATAACTGTTTTCGCACTTCTTGATTTTTTAATTTACTGGGAGGCCACTCAGAAATGGAAGTGGCCCGGGCCTCTCTTGACCTCTGTGAGGGCCTGCTGCCCACATGCACCTCAGAATTAAGTTCCCAGTGGGGGAACTCCCAGACCATGTCTGAAAATCGTCATGGCGGCCACAAGTGAATCAGCCCTCATCCTGGGGCCTAACAGGTGCTTACTGGCACTTCTGGGCAAGGGTGTCTAGACACGGTGGGGGCATGGACTTGCGCAAACTCACAGCCACATGAAATAGCAGGGAAGACCCCATCCCGGAACTACAAACACCCAAATATGGTTATAATCCCCACCCCCACCACCCGTACTATTAGGGTTGCCTGCTGACCAGAGAAAAATTGGCCCAGTCTGCTCTTCTACCTCTGAAATCGCTCACTAAAGTTTTCCCCAGCGTGGAGGAAAAACAGGATCACCTGCTAACCGTTGCTTATCAAGCACAAGTTAAAGACACGGCTGCAAGGGCTAGTTCAAAAGTTGGCAACCCTAAATGAGCACGATGGCCATATTTGGCTTTTGTCCTCTCCCCGGGTTTTACCTCTTGGTTGGCTTGCCCTTGACGTTGTTGGTTGCATTTCCCAAAGAGCGCACTTGTCCCTCTCCAGAGGTATCAATGTTGTCCGTGCTCCGGGCCTGTGCAGTCAAAACAAGCGAGGCATGAAGAATGCCATCATGCAGAGACTTAGCATGGTGCAGTGGTTACAGGGCTGGGTCTGGAAGTACTGGGTTCAAATCCACTACCCATCCACCCCCCGCTGTAGCCATTAAAACTCACTAGGTCACCTCAGGCCAGTCACACTGTCTCAGCCTAACCTACAAGTGTGTTGTGGGGACAAAAACAGGAAGAACCACTGTGTGTTCCGCCCAGAGCTCCTTGGTGGAAGAGTGGGATAAATATATACAGACAACCCCACTCAAGACAAAGTCCCAAACATGTGACAACATTTCTCTCCCCTCCCCTTGACCGTTGCCTGTATTGTTGGCTAGCAATCTCTCTGCAGCATGGCTTTGCAGCTAATTCTTGAGCCAGTGCCTCAAGCCAAAACCAAATCATTCTGCTTCAAGACAAGTCTGCTGCCCTCCTACATCCTTTGGTCTCTTTGTTGGTCTCTTTACCAGCAATATGTCATAGTGGTTTGACATACCCGTGTGTGTGTGTAAAGTGCCATCAAGTCATAGGCATCTTATGGCAACCCTCACTGGGTTTGCAAGGAAAAAGAGGAACAGAGGTGGTTTGCCACTGCCTGCCCCTGTATAGCAATCCTGGACTTCCGTGGTGGTCTCCCATCCCAGTACTAAACAGGGCCGACCCTACTTCGCTTCTACAATCTGACGAGATTAGGCGAGCCTGGAACATCCAGGTCAGGGCCTTCCACAGCCAGTATCTCAAGACTGCTAAAGATGCAAGCAATGACCTTCTGGCTGGATCCCTAGCTTTGAAAGGACATCTTCACACGCCAAAAACATACACAAAAGAGCTCTCTGACTTTTTCTTCCCTTGGTTGCTCTGCTATCCAGCTCCACTCTCCAGTTTCTCGGGAGACTTTTGAGATGCCATCCTACCCTTTCTACACTCTTTGTAAATCCCTTCCCAAATCTGTGATCACCCAACAGTTGGCTGGGATGTGGAATGGCACGGTCTAGAGCCCAACCTTGTCGGAACTTGGACGCTAAGGAGGGTCCGTACCAGTGTTCCCTCTAAGCTGAGTTAGTGTGAGCTAGCTCACAGCTTTTTAACCTCCGGCTCACACATTTTTGTCTTAGCTCAGGAAGGATGGCTCCAGAGCAAACTAATTTATGCAGCAGCCAAATCGCTCACTCACAACTTTAATGCCAGTAGCTCACAAAATAGAATTTTTGCTCACCAGACTCCACAGCTTAGAGGGAGCATTGGTCCGTACTTTGATTGGGAGACCACTCAGGAAGGCTCTGCAAAGGAAGGCAATGGCCAACCACCTCTGCTTCTCACTTGCCTTGAAAGCCCCTTGCTGGGGGTTGCCATAAGTCAGTTGTGACTTGATGGCACATGCATACATAACCAATCTTCCACTGTCTGAAAAAATCGACAAAAATATTTAACTGTACTAGGCTCTACGGTAACTCCTACAGAATGACACCAAATACCTCAAAATATACACGCTGGATCCAGCCAGCTTTCTTCACTCAACTTCACCTCATTCTCCCTCTTTCTATGGCCCCCGTCCCACTTGCCTTCTTATGCAGGTCCCATTTAGGGCTGCCAACTCCAGGTTGGGAAATTCCTGGAGATTTGGGGGTGTGGCTTGAGGAGGGCGGGATTTGGGGAAGAGAGGGATTTCAGTGTGGTATAATGACATACAGTCCACCCTCCAGGCCCGTAGCTACCGTGGGGCTTTTGGGGACTTCACCCCTTTCTTACAGGCACAGCCCCACAAGAACTTCTCCTGTAAATGCTTTTTTTCAATCACTTTAAAACATTTTTTTAAAGGTGTGAGCTCCTTTAAGCAGAGTGGGGTGCTGCAGTTGACTAATTCCTGCACTGAGCAAGGGGGTTGGAGTAGGTGACTTCTAGGGTCCCTTCTATGTGTCAAGAAACTGGTCTCCTTTAAGAGAGTTTTTCTGCCTCAATGTTAGCTTTCTTGACCGTAGAAGTCATCACGCCCACCTGCCAGCTTGTTATCAGAATTGTCGCTTAGGCAGGCAGAAGTGATTAACTTGCAGCAGTTGAGAACTGTCATCTAAAGTGGTTGTCAGCTTGCAATTTAGAGATCTAGCTTGTTAACAGCTTTCTTTTGGCTAAATGGTTAATAGGCTAAGGGTGACAGCTAGCATAAGAACACCTATGTAGAACAGACAGTTTGAGAAGACTCAAAGAGAGAAGATTTGCAGAAGCTTCTATGCTTTGATTTTTAAAGGCTTGATTCCGCAGTAGCCGAGTCATAATCCTCAGAATTCTGGCTTTTCTTTCTGCACTGAGAACTTCAGCCCCACCAGAAAAAATTTTTGCCCCACAAGCTACAAAATCCTCACTACAGGCCTGCCACCCTCCAAAGCAGCCCTTTATCTCCAGGGGAACTGATTTCTGCAGTCTGGAGATCAGTTATAATTCCAGGGGATCTACAGACCCTACCTGGAGTTTGGCAAGCATACCCATGATTCCCAGCACAGCCTTTTGGGTGGTCAAGGAGACCCCCTCCTCCCTTTCCCACCAGCTGACAAGCCAGTTGAATCCTGCCCATATTTCTAGATACTGCTTCAAGGCCTCAGAAGAAGAAGAAAAAACTTCTTGTGCCAGACAGCCCAAGCTTGAATTGCCAGAAAAGCCCAAACATGATCTAAGAGGATTGGCGCATGACTCAAAATAAAGCATCAGCTTACAGGGTTTTGACAACTGGTTTTTCAGTTGGAGGCTCCTGTTCTCTCGTTCCTTCTTCCCAGGTGCAACCTGATACCAGATCCACCCAGCCCCACTTTATCTACTAAAATCAGCCAGCGTTCTAATACAAGATGTTGACAAGAAAGCCTTAAGATCAAGGCCTGGAAACGTCTCCTTCTCTCACCTCCTCACCTGCTTTTTTTTTAACATCCAGTGTGATGAAGAGTTCTGGAGAACCTTAAAGTCTGAATGATGTTTGATTGGCTCTAATTCAAAGGGTTCTGTGGCTTTATTGGTCAGTTGGTTTTGCTCCTTTAAAATACCCCAGAGGGAGCTGGAACCACGACCAGCCAGTGCGATGATGGGTCTAGATATAACGGCTCGATCAAATGCTGACCTTTGGGGAAGCAATTGGCTTGCTGTTAGACAGGGTGGATTTTAGATATTCTGGGCCAATCCTGCATTTCTGTCTTGCTAACTGGGGATAGGCACAGACATGCAGATGAATCAGGGCCTGTTTTGTTTCCTCGCTTGCATTACAAGTCCGTCTTTACTTTCCCTTTGCAACCTGTTCAACAGGGACAGAAGCCAGCAAAGTGAATACTCGTTCGTTACGACTGATTGCCTTCCTGCTGCACACTTCAGGTGGGTTCTCTACCTTTTAAAAAATTTAAACATATGAGAATTCATTCAGTTACATGTACATTTATCTTCCCTCTCCTTTCGTGGTGGGTTTTTTTTTTTTTTGCAAAAATAATTTTTATTACAGTTTCATATTACATCCTCATATAGGGTGTATCACAGTGCATCACACGTTCTTTTCGGTTTTTAAGAAGCAGAATCAGTTTTTTAAAACTGAAAAACTACTTCAGAGGGAATAAAGCCTATTAGTGATCCTAGCCAAAGCCAATCAGCACTGCAGCCTATCGCTTCTGCTAAAACATGAGAAATGTGGGTTTCCCCTGCATTCAATTTGGTGAGAAGAATCTATGCTTGACTAGGCTTGGTAAGTGAACCCGGGGGGGGGGGTGTCACCGCATCTAGCAACTCTCTAGGAATTCCCCCAGTCTCTATGGTCTTTACCATAGAAATTAAGGAAAATCCTAGAGCATTGCTTAGCATCACTTCCGGGTCTTCCACCAGAAATGACATCGCCACATTGCGCAATGCTCCCTCTCCCCATGCCGTGCCCCCCAAAAGCTCCCCGGATAACCCTATGCTTGACCCTATGCTCCCTCAACAGTCCCACAGCTAAAATGAGGGACTGTGATTCAGTAGGAAGGAGCCGTGGATCAGTGGCAGAACATCTGTTGTCATACAGAAGGTCCCAGGTTCAATCCCTGGCATCTCCAGGTAAGGATCAAGTTGTAGGTGATGTGAAAGACCTCACATTGAGATCCCGGAAAGCCACTGTCAGGCTGAGTCGGTTGAAACTAAACCCAGCGAAGACGGAGGTCCTGGGCCTGAGTCGAAACGGTTTGGGGTTGGGGCTCCCTCTCCCGACCCTCGACGGGGTACCTTTGGTGCCCGTGTCGGAGGTTAGAAGTTTGGGAGTGCTCCTGGACTCCTCTTTAACGATGGAGGCCCAGGTAGCAGCCACTGCCAGGTCTGCATTTTACCATCTGCGGCAGGCTCGGCAGTTGGCCCCCTTCCTCGACCGCGAAGACCTGGCTACAGTGATCCACGCGACGGTTACCTCAAGGCTAGACTACTGTAACGCTCTCTACATGGGGCTGCCTTTGTCGCTGATCCGGAAGCTGCAGCTAGTGCAGAATGCGGCGGCTAGGCTGCTGATGGGCCTCCCCAGGTGGGAGCACATCAAGCCTGGGTTGAAGGCGCTGCACTGGCTGCCTATAGCATACCGAGTCCGCTTCAAAGTGCTGGTACTCACCTTTAAAGCCCTATATGGCCTGGGTCCGACCTACCTGAGGGACCGCCTTTCCCCATACATACCCCCGAGAGCACTTCGGTCAGGGACCCAGAACCAGTTAGTGGTTCCGGGCCCCCGAGAGGTAAAATTCGCTGCAACAAGGGCCAGATCCTTTTCAGTGGCGGCCCCCACCTGGTGGAATGAGCTCCCGGAGGAGATCAGGGCCCTGCGGGACCTTATGCAGTTCCGCAGGGCCTGCAAGACGGAGCTCTTCCACCGGGCTTTTACATAGGGGCCGCCACTGTCACCGCTGCCGCCACCACTACCAACGGTGGCAATACTATCGTAGTCGGGCGTGCCCTTGGAAACTTAGCGATATAAGAACCACGCAACAACGAAAGCAACAGA